CCTCTGCTCTCTCACCCACAACCTCTTACCTCTGCTCTCTCACCCACAACCTCTTACCTCTGCAATCTCACCACAACCTCTTACCTCTGCAATCTCACCCACAACCTCTTACCTCTGCTCTCTCACCCTTCAGCTCCTTACCTGTACTCTACTCTTACTTCTGTTCTGTCACTTAAGCTTTTACCTCTGCTCTATCCCTTAGCTCCTTTGATCACCCTCGCTTCTCACTTCTACTCAACCCCTCCTCCTGCTCCTTACCTCTGTTCCTTCCCATCCCTTCCCTCTGCTCCCATTCCTTGCTCATTACCTCTTCTCCAATCCCCTGCTCCTTCCCTTTGCTCCCATCCCCTGCTCCTTACGTCTGCGACAAGGCTCGGGAAAAACAAGAAGTCGGGTAATCATATTAATGTAGGATTTGCTTAGCATTGGCAATCTCTCGGTCCAAGAGGGAAATTGGATGGCAGCAGCGGAGGATCTGAGGCAGCGGCGGCCCCAAGATGAAGCTAATTGAAATTTCTCCAAAATTTAATATTCTTTGCTCGTCTCTCTGCCTGGAGCTCTTTCTTCATCTCACTCAATTCTGTCTATTTTTTCACCATTAAATTTATAAGAGCTGTTATCCTAGCTGAATCCCGCAGCTTGATTGGTAGCGCACTCGGCTCACACATTGAGGTCCAGGAGTCGATTCCCGGTACGGGTGGAAACCTTAGGACGTGTTTCCTCAAGACACCTGCTGTCCATGTCCGCCTAGCAGTAACACAGGTACCTGGGCGTTAGTCGACTGGTGTCATATCATGGGGACAAAACTGATCTAATTTGCCCGAAATGCTCTGCATAACACGCGGCTTTCTATATAGTATTATGTCATTGATGTCAGCTAGGTCTGTATACCTTGTACATGTACTTGTGGAAATAAAGATTATTATTATAAAGCTCGGTCTTATTTAAGGGATAGCATCATCCCAGAATATTATCGTAGCTCAGCTCATTTTAAAGCTCAACCTTATTTAAGGAAGAATACACAAATAACCCACACACGGAAACGTTTCCTCTAATATATATCCTGTACTGTACATAAGAGTCGTTTTCTACATCCTGTCGGTATCACCATACCATTTCTTAAACCAGTGTCTCGAGTGGAGGAGCTCAATGGCACTAGAAATGAGCTCCACACTTATACCGCTAAGAACAAAACAGATCCAATACACAAATGACCCGCACATAGGAGAGAGAGACGCTTTTCCTTCCTTATATGCGGGTTATTTACATATTGTTCAAGTCACGGCACTGAGACTTTCTTTAAATAAGATGCAGGATTGAAAAAGTGCGACTCCTTCTACAGATGATGATGATGAATCACTGAGCTTCTCAAGATTCTCGCAGTTTCTCAAAAAAAAAAAAAAATGCAGGCTACAGTGATAAAACTGAATATATCATAGAGTATACAAAAAAAAAAAAAAGAGAGAAAGAAGTCAGCAATAAAACTAAATCGAAAATACGTTGTCATTTACAAAACCCTAGACAAAAACCACATTCCTTTCTTTAAGGTGATGGAATTTACACTGATGACAATAATAAAACTGCGCATATATAATTGTGTTGAGTGACCTGTTAATCAGACCAAAGTTTTACAATCGAAATTAAATTTTTTCACGAATGGATTAAAGATGGAAAAATCCAAACAATTTTTCACTCGAAACCCTTCCAACATCTCCAAAATTTCTGACATAACCCTAACTCCACTCGACTTTGCTGAAGTCGCTGACAGCATAGTAATGCACCCTGCCCCAAAATTCCTCTAACTCCCTATTCACAAAAAAAAAAAAAAAAAAAAAAAAAAAAACATTATATCACATGCCTTAAATATCCTATTATGACGGAGCTCGTGTGATAATGTAAAACTCTTTCAAATATTTTGATAATTGTAAAACAGCAGCATTATAAAATAATGGTATGGTGATAAACAAGAGGAATCGTTTCGCCCAGATTGGCTTCTTCAGTACCAGTGAAGAAGCCACTCGTGGCGAAATGTTTCCTTCAATAAATATCCTGAACTATACATAAATTTAGTGTTTTTCCACATCAGTGAAAAGCTCTGTTCCTCAAGGCACAGTACTCGCTCAAATTCTTTTTTTTTTATATATCCGACATAAGAGATGAAAGTCACAGCACAGTATCATCCTCTGCAGATATTAGCACTGTAAAGAGTGGCAAGAAGAAATTGGACAAGTATCTTCACCAGGTGCCAGATCAACCAGGCTGTGATGAATATGTGGGTCAGCAGGCAACCAGCAGAAACAGCCTGGTTGACCAGGCAAACACCAGACGAGCCAGGCCTATGTTTCACACCCATTTACCAGCCTACAACCCACCGCGTGGTGTTCCTCCTATGCCTGGAGCATGGCAAGAAACATCTGCTGGCGTGCGAGGTTATATACCGTGCTGTCTACTAGGCTAACGTGGAACTGGTGGCAGCTGGACCTACAGCAGGTCGTGACAAGAGCCACTGTTGGCTTACTGATTTTCGCCACAAGGTTAAACACCTCCCATCTTTTCTTGACAACAATGGCAACTGCCTAAACGACTGTCAACTTCTCCTTGACAGTGCCAGTGTAAACGACTGTCAACTTCTCCTTGACAGTGCCAATGTAAACGACTACCACATTCTCCTTGACAGTACCAGTGTAAATGACTGCCACATTCACCTCGACAGCAACCCCGCCTACCTGAACGATTCTCCTTTTCTTTGAAGGAAACACTACCCGTCTAAATGAGTGTCGTCTTTTCTGAGGCAACAATGTCTAAACGACTATCATCTTTCACCTGAAGGGAACACCACCAGGCTACATCCTTACTATCACAGTATTCTGCTTCACAACATTCACACGAGGTGTCACTATGCAAATATCCAGACAGCCTTATGACATAAATAACTCAGCATTCTAGCAAGAGCTAAAACACAGTCGAGAAGCCATAAAAATCTCGGTGCTGGAAGGAGGGGTAAGAGTAAAGGGGAAGAGAAAGGAGAGTAGAGGAATGATGAAGCATGGGGAGGAAAGGGAGAGAGAAGGAGAAAGGGAAACAGAGAGGGGAAAGAGGAAGGAAGGGAAAGAAGGGAGTGATTGATGGAAGAGTAAAAGAAGGATGGGAAAGAGGAAGGGAAAGGGGCAAAAAGGGAGTGACTGATGGAAAGGAAGAGTAAAAGAAGGATAGGAAATAAGGTAAGGAAGGGGACACCGGATAAATGGAGATAAGAGGGAAGAGAAATTAGGGAGAGGAAGGATAAAGGGAATGAAGAAAGTGAAGATTATAGGAAAAGAGGGAGAGAGGGACAGAACATGAGACGGGGAGAGAGAAAATATTGGAGATTAGGGCTGTTCCAATGTATCAGTATCGGAGGGTATTGGATAATTTTGCTGGTATCGGTATCAGCAAAACTTTTGGTATCGACCCATCCCTATTGAAGCATACTTTAAAGCTACAAGACGATGGAAGAATCCTAGTAAAGAGCAAGCTAGGAGGAAACCTAGTAGAGGGAGCTAGAAGGATGCCTAGTACAGTGAACTAGGAGGAAACCTAGTAACGGGAGGTAGGAGGAAGCCTTGTAAAGAGGGACCTGGATGGAAACTTAGTAGAGCGAGCTGGGTGGAAGCCTAGTAAAGAGGAAGCTGAGAAGATGCCTAGTAATGAGGAAGCTGCGAAGAAGCCCAGTAAAGAGGAAGATGAGTGGATCAATCAAGCAGGGGGCCTGGTCTGGAACCGGGTGGCGGGGGCAATGACCCCCAGGAGACATCAAATGGTGGTCATCGGGTTGTCCAGTGGTAGATAGGCAGATGTTAACTGACAAAGATGCAAAGCTCCTGGAAAGTGAAACGTCCCCACAATAAAATGTCACGTTAGTTGCATCTGTGTCCATTTGCCAAACATTTTATCGGTAATTCTACCATTATTACTAAAGGTAGGCAGAAGTTCGTTCTGTACTAAACATCAGATCCGACAGTCTTGTGTATGCTAACCTAAATCCAGGTTGACTCACCCAGCTCACAGTTTCGTCAGATACACACAGAATCTGGTTCACTCTAAATTCACTTTTCCTAAACATTAAAGTTTTTGTTAGATTCCCTAACAAAGACACACTTCTTGTTCCGGTTGTGAAAGCCAGTAACGGTTCACTAGTTCAAAGAAATGAACGTCTTAATTTTTAGAGGGTTAACCCTTAATGATTCAACATGTGAATCTTCCCTACTTCAAAAAAAGGGTAACGCTGTAGGCCATTAGGCTTGCTGCAGTGTTCCTCCAGTCTTACGTTCTTTTGCTGCACGAGCAAGGCTTCAATTATGCACAACGCAGGTCATCATTCAACATACAACAGCCTGCGGGGTGATATCAACTCTTAATTAAGTACTGCAATAAGTTTTGTAGGGGTTTTGACTGGGCAGAATTCGATGACCTGTAATATTTTTTATTAATAAAGCATTAAAACGTTGGGTTATTCAGCGCTTTAAACATGAGGGACGGGGAGTAGGGGAGGTCCAGGATCAACCACCCTACCTTCTCTAAATCTCTTCAAATTTAGTGTTTAGGGTTATCTTAAGATCTGAACTTACGTTTGTAACCTTAGTTCAGTTTGATTTGTAGGTCAAAAGTTCTGACACAAGTCATTTTGAGGTCACGCGACGATAAGCATTTCCTTGAAACATTACAACTATATATATTTCGAATCGACAGAGTACAAGGATTTCACTGATATAATTATTTTCCTAGATGACCTACACAATTTAGCTTTTAATTATTTAACTGAGGTCTTCCTCTGACTTACCAGTCCGCCAGCTAAAAACTATCCAACATGTAAACAAAACTCACGCGTTTTGCTAGACCTCTGCGTACCTCACAGGTCAGCCACCTATGTACACAACATATTTATAAACCAAGGAGTCGAAATTCTTTTTCAGTCTATGAAAGTGTGAGCCTAGATTCAACCCCTAAGATAAAAGGCTCACCTGCTTGCAGTAGCGGAGGATATCCACCTTGTCCTTGAGACAAGTAACCTTTGAGTTGGCGTCGGTGACCCATCGTCCGGTCTGGGTCATGTACTGAGCGTGGTACTGGTGGTTGCGGCCCGCACATACCATGGCAACCTGGGGCTCGAACCTGGGCCCGGCCTCGCCAGCGGACACGCCACTCTGTAATAAAGCAAACTCTTTATAACCCCAGTGGTCGACAGAATTCTCTAGCATCGCATAAAAGCTGCACATAAATCATTAATACAATCATGCAAAATGTGGAAACGGGGTAATCCGCTTGGTGATAAACAAAAAATAACAAAATAATGTAGGACCTATATATTTCAGCATTCTTTTGCTCGTTTAATTTATGACTCCAAGTGGGTCTGTTTCCACTGACTGGTGTTTATTACAATACCAACATTGCAATGTAAAATATATATTTAAAGGAAGGGGAATAGTTAAACTCTCGAAACTGGCCACAGGTATACTACACAACTCTTATGGTGATAATAAAGGGAAAGTACTGTACTGTGTATTTCAACCTCACGATGAAAAGGTCTCTGTGTAAGGCTGAAATATACAGTACTTCGTTTGTTTTGTCTCCGCGTGTGTTTGTCTGGAGAATACTCCAGGGAATCCTCTCGTGGCTCTTGGTGGTCACTTGCGTCATCATCGCCCCTGACTATGAATGAATTCCCACTGCAATCTGTCATGTGACATGATTGTGAACAGCTTCGAGGGCTCTTCTAACCTCGGCCTGAAGCCCCATCTTATTTTTGATACAACACATGTTATAACGCTCTGGTATTTGTCATTTTTCCAAAAATACCCCACAGTCAACCTTGTTCTGCACATATATCTTTCAAAAAATGAGTATTATGAGAACGTTCAGACACTGACGATAGGTAACGTGAAACAGAAAGAACGTGTGAAAGGAGGATAGTTTGCTCACTGAGTCCCCGGCTCAACCACAATGGTACATACATTACTTACTCATTGGGATGCATGATGTTACTGTTCCCTGCAGTGCATGCTTAGGGTACTACACCACGATGATGTGCGCATATACACGTGCGCCTCCCTCACCTGTCTGCCCCTTGCTTAAAAAAAAAAAAAAAAGATGCGAGGGGATGGTAAATGTTCTGCAACACTTGAAGGTGATTAGTTTTCTATGTTGGGAAAACGCAGAATCAGGGACCGGTGATCCTGTTGACGAACCTCCTGAGTTGTATGGCAGTTACCGAGATAAAATAAGATTACGGATCAAATGTAGAAATGCAAGTATTGTGACGACGTTTCGCTCAATGTAGAACTTTACCAGAACGAAACGTCTTCATAATTTAAACTTTCTCTGCATCTGTACTTTTTCTTCAATACAATTGACGGTACACATTTGTTTCCAAGATTGTGAACCAACAAACTATTTAATAACACAAAACACAAGAAGGAATACCGACTGAACTAGGCGCTCGGTAAAACACATCTTGAATATTTCCAGATTTAATTCCAAATTACAAAAGTGACGAACAAAGACGGTGGAAAGCGCAAGAAAGGGTAACTGAGATCCGTATCTTTATTAATAAACAAACCATGGAGGGGGAGGGGTTGTTAAGACTTAAAAGCACTTGTCTCGTTCTCTCATGAATACGAACTCTCTTTTAACTTTTCGGATACTAATCAAATTTGATACTCAAAGAAATCTTTGATCAGCAGTCAATAACTTTAAACAGTAAAACGAAACTTTCAGGAATAAAAATGCAGCACAAATATGGTTAAGATTTCTCTGCAGTTATATAAGGATGAAACACACCTTGAGTTACTTCCGGAGATCACTGCCCCCGCGGCCCGGTCCCAAACCGTAAGTACTAAAACTAAGCAAATGTTTAATAAACAGCTGGACAAGCATTTGTATATATATCTGATTCTACTTAGATACTCTGCAGGGACACTGTGGTCAGTGAAATCTTGACGTTGGTTTAGGAACTATCTCAGGACAAACAGTTGACCGGGGAGAAGTTTATTGAGTTAAATGTTTCTAACAATTTCATGAACTGAGGTGTAACAGAGATAGGTGTAGAGCCCTCCCCTCCTCCCTCCAACTGCACCTTAGTATTCCACCTCTTCCCTTGCATATGTGTTTTATCTTCCCCTCTACACCCCAACATTCCGTCACTAGTGTTGCAAGTCTCCCCCCCCCCCTTTCCTCTTCCTCCCAGTGTCCCTTCCACACAAGTGCTCTCTTCTCGTATCTTCGTAGAAACTCCAGAACCCTAGTACTCTCCATCCCTTACACTGGTGTTCCCACATATCACCTTCCAGTGATCGACCCCCCCCCCTTCCGCAAATCAGTGCTTCCCTCTCCTCCCTCACCAGTGTTTCAACCCCACCACCACCCGTGTTTCACCCACCTTTCATTCACTGCACAATTTGCTTAAATAAATATGCATGTGTTTTGACTTGCATAGCAAGGCGACGTATGAGGCTTTAATCAAACGTGTTGTGTTTGTGCATGTGCTCACAAACACGTGCTTGTTGGGGTCTAATCACAGCTCCTGACCCCCCCCCCCAAAAAAAAAACAGTTTTGGGTAATATAAAAACACTTAGAGCAGAGCAAGCCAATCTTACGATGATGTTTCATCTTAATAAAGCCTTAATCTCTTCTAAGCGTCTTTGTATTAGCCATATTTGTGGACACAATGTTTCTCAACGAACCAGCTTGACTCATCCCTGGCCCCCAGGACCTATTGTGCCTTATTTGCGCCTATGTATCATACCTTTCTTCTTTTCATGTATCGTCTGTTAGTCTAGTATTTTTATAATAAACAAAAGTAGGTAATCGGCAGCGTGCTGCTACTCTTACTCTATGCAAGTCACACAGTGAGACCAAAAGCCACTTACGTTACCCTACCGTATTTCCTAATAGTTGATTGACTTCTTAAATCAGGTAATGGAATTTGTAAGCCTACCTGGAGGTTGTTTTGAAGGTAAACGCCCCCGCGGCCCGGTCTTCGACCAAGCTTCCCGGTGGATCAGGGCCTGCTGACATATGCCTGAGTTCAGATACTTAAATAGGGCTATGAGGATGCTGTAAATTAGTCTACTGTCGTATCAGTAGCTCCACGAGCTTCAAGGGTTTCGTTCCGGCAGGACTGGAGTTACTACTGCCTCAGTATGGCTGGGTGGGACTAAGTGGTGTCAGGGGGTCACGTGAAATGGTAACTGGTGGGTGGCAAGGAATAATTGACCAGAGGGAGAGGGAATGGAATAGGAGAAATGCTAGTAGGGCACAGGCGGGGGCGTGCATCTCAAAGTACTCGCCTAGGTGCGTTTGCAGGAGTCTGGCCATAGCTCATGGTTTTTCCTCTCCACTCTTTTCGACCGACTGACTCCAGGTTTCAGACCTCCGTCTAATGCGTTCCATGTACCACCTGACACTGAAAATATAATTCTTAACGTCCTTACAGTTGATCTGTGTCTTTAAATGACATCTGTGTCCCCCGATACCCTTCTGCTTGTTTCCTACAGTTGTCCCACTCTAGTTCAGTGACTACTCTAGTGCTCTGTTTGTGGACCTGCCTCTGCTTCCGGCTAAAACCATAAGTCTGTTACGAAGTTTGCCTCTATTCTCTGCATTCCGTTCATGTGTGCGCGCATGCGAGAGAGTACGTGTATGCCGTCATGCAGGGAGTATGACTGAGGCAGATAAAACGTAAATTAGCAATGCGGGCAAGAATGCGAAACATTACTTCAATAAAACAGGTCCGGGATGCATATCTTTCACTGTGAGGCTGCAGTTGGTGAACCACATTGTTGCTCACAACTAACTCACTGAAGAAAACAAGCAATATATATAAACTTTGGCCCACACGTTTACCCAGTCAATTTGACCCCCAAATATGACTCGCCAGTTTTCCAGCCAATTTAGCCTGCCAATTTAACTCGCCAATTCCTCCTACGGTCGTTTTCCGAACAGACAAGACACAAATATGTAGGAAGGATTTACCCAGCACGCTGAGCCTAGATTATATCCGCCTGGTGACAATCTTTGAAGAAATAAATCCGGAACGTTACTACTTAATATCTTGGCTAAGCAATCTGGAGTAAGATAGTCGACATTCACGGCCTGGCCAGGTATCCCCAGCGACAGCAAGATATATGACGAAGCAATTTATTCAACATGAACACACTTTTATGTAAGCCAAAAAAAAAATAATTTTCCTCCCGAGTGACGTACAGGCAAACTGATTTTGATATTTTTTTTATCCTGGTCATTGGGGCGTCAACTATCTGGATTGGTATGTACTATCTCAACCTCTCCTTTAATGACCTTAAATTTCCCAGCATGGTTTCCAACGTTCATTTTATGTGTGTTTCCTGCATTGTTTTTAAATTTGTTTCCTATTTTAGGTTTGGTTAAAGAATAAACAAAAATGAACAAAAATAATAACCATATGGATAACACCTGTCAATGCTCAGTAATAACCTACGTGGAGACAAACTCAGGAGATTAATTGATCTGTATATTTCGACCCATAAAGAAGTCGAAATATACAGATCAATTAATTTCCTGAGGTTATCTCCATGTGGGTTGAGAAAAAACCATATATTTAACCACAGATACGCAAAATAAAAGAAAAAACAAAACGACCGCGATACGTCTGGCAAGGAGGTGGGAATGGAAACCCACGAGACATTCAAATCTGAACATTTTTCACCGGTGCTGCGAGAATGGGATAACTATCTTTAAGACGGTATATTCACTCACAGGATGAGTAAGGTTGCCAATAGACTCATCCTTCACGGTACGAATCTAAAACCTTCTCTGGCAGCCTGGCCTGACACCACAACCAGACTATTCGATATTTTAACACTAGATATCAGAAACACTACTGGGACACGTGTAGAAATCATGAGGAAATTGGTCAAGAGGAAATTAGACAAGTATCTTCACCAGGTGTCAGATCAACCAGGCTGTGATGGATATGTGGGTCATCAGACCACCAGACGAGCTTGACCCATGGCCGGGCTTCGAGAGTAGAAAAACTCGGAATTCATCAAAAATTCGGAAAGATTCCTGCCCTCCAAATAGTACGCGCATTTTCCAATCCGTTGCAGGGTGTCAATCTGAGCACGATGTTCACCGATATCCAAATTTACGTCTAATTAACCGCCAATA